GCTGACCTGATGAACATCCTTTACGACGAATTTGTCAATATCTAACAAAACTCTACATATGTAAAAATGTGTATATCTTTTAATCCAGCGGTCCTACTTCTATATACTCATCCCAAAGGTGCATTCCCAACAATGTAAAAATAAATATTCACAAGGTTACTCGCTGCAGCATTATTTTAATTGCAAAATATTGGAAGCAAGTAAATAATAACATATAGAAAACTGCTTTAACTAAGGAATGTGTACACAATATAAACTATGTATCATGTAAAAATAAAAACAGGGGCTGTAGTGATAGCACAGCAGGTAGGGCGCTTGCCTTGCATGCGGCTGACCCAAGTTCGATTCCCAGCATCCCATCTGGTCCCCCGTGTACCGCCAGGAGTAATTCCTGAGTGAAGAGCCAGGAGTAACCCCTGAGCATCACTGGGTCTGACCCAAAAAGCAATAATTAAATAAATAATTAAAAAGATAACAGAAACAACGTGCTGGGAGAGGGAGAGAACTATTGCTTAATATGAATGGCTTCAATCCAGGAAAACAAACATTCTGGAAATGGATGGCAATGATGATTGCACAACAACATCTATGTGCTTCATGCCACTGTGCCACTGGACATGTGCCACAATACAGCCACTAAACTGTTTCAAGTATTAGAGTGGCAGATTTCAAGATAATAAGTTTTACCGCAATCTAAAAAAATTAATTGGAAAGATCCTTTTGGTATGAATTGGCATTATTTCCCTGAAATATTAGTAAGCCGCCTCCCCCCCAAAAAAGTAACAAATGAGTATAGTTAACTTTTAGAAAAGCAATAAATAAATATCAGAACACATATCTGCTTGTCAAAACAAAGAGGAAAACCAGGGTCAGAGGAATAGGACAGCAGGTAGGGAGCTTCCTTGTACACAGCTGACACAGGCTCAAGCCACAGCACCCCATGTGGTCCTCCAGGGCCGGCCAGGAGCGATCCCTGAGCAGAGATCCAGGAGTAAGTCCTGAGCACTCTCAGGTGCGGCCCCATAACAAAAGAAATAAAACAGGACAAATCAGCTAACTGTGACATCAGTAACCCGTTTAAGAAAAGTGGGAGGAAAGGAGGAAAAACAGGCCACTGTGCAGTGCTGGGGATTGCACAGGGGTGCTGCCAATCAACGCATGTGCTCCAGCCTTCCGGAACATTCGCACAGTGGCCTAAGCACCACCAGGTGTGACGCAAAAACTCTTTAAAAAAAAAAAAAACAGAAAAACAGGAGGAGGTGATGAAATGTAAAAGATACAGAGAAAATATGCATCTGTTTGGTAATTTTTACTTCTTTGACAAATATCTGTAATTTATTTGAGAGCACGGTATTTATTTACTCGCCCTAATCTTGGGTAGAACAGTTAGGAGAAAACAAGAAAACTATATACAAATCCACCACTCACTTTAAGTAACTGTGTTTATTATAGTGAAAAAGGCAAAACACTTCTGAAGCTGAGAGGTCACGTAGTTTATGCACTTTTTATAGCATAAGAAGAAGCACAGATATATGTAGTGATGAGGCTGGAGCGACAGCACAGTGGGTAGGGCGTTTGCCTTGCACGTAGCCAACCTGGGTTCAATTCCCAGCATCACCTATGTCCCCTGAGCACCTGAGCACAGCCAGGAGTAATTCCTGAGTGCAGAGCCAGGAGTAACCCCTGTGCAATGCTGGGTGTGACCCAAAAAGAAAAAAAAAAAGTAGTGAGGAATATAGAGAAGTTGGATATAATCATATAAATTCATAACTTATACCTTCAAAATACATGAGTATTTCCTAGGTCTCTCCACTGAGAGAACCCAGGAACAATGACAAAGCCCTGCCCGATAGATCTTGGTCTTCAATGGCATTTCCCAGAAGGAAATGGAGCCATGATTAAGAGAGCCCCACTGTTCAAACCTAGGACAAACTGAGGGCAAAAATAATTAACTTGAGTAATGAATTGTAAACAATTTAAAAAATATGAATTTATGAGCCATACAAATAGATAAGGCTCTTGATTACAGAATAATAGCAGGAACTGACTGGTAAATGTGAAGAGAATGCTGGGATGAAAGAAAGAAAAAAAAAGAAAGGGAGGAGGGGAGGGGGAGGAGGAGGAAGAGGAGGAGGAGGTGTAGAGGAGGCGGCACAGAAGCCAGGAATCATCTATAAGGGGCTGGAGCGATAGCAGAGCGGGTAGGGCGTTTGCCTTGCATGCAGCCAACCCGAGTTTGATTCCCAGCATCCCATATGGTCTCCCAAGCACCATCAGGAGTAATTCCTGAGTACATGAGCCAGGAGTAACCCCTGTGCATCGCTGGTTGTGACCCAAAAAGGAAAAAAAAAAATCTGTGAATGTGAAATCCAAAGCAAATTTGAGAATTAGGGCATCTGTCTTTCAAAAGACTAGTTATGTTTGCAAAAGAAGGCAGGGGGAGGGGGTACTTACTCTACATGAAGAAATCTGATAACACCTAGATTAAGTAAGCAAAATTAATACCAAAATTAACAATGAGGAGATAGACTGGATGGACATCACCTCCAAAAGATACCTTTCTCAGAGTATCATATGACCTAATAGGTATTTCAATCAAAAATATATTACTTCTAGCTAATCACAGGGGAACTTCTAATACACTGAACAACATTATGCTGGGCGTGAGATCAGGATGTAAGAGGAAAAAAAGTCATCTTGAAAGATAAACACGAAGGGAAGAGGGGAAGTTGAAGGGGAAAAGGAAGGAAGAGGAGGAAAGGGAAGGGGAAAAAGAGAGGGAGGGAGGGAGAGAGAGAAACTAAATGCAGTATGTGATTGTAGACTATTCTAATAGGAAACGGGAAATGCTGTAAAAAAATGTAGTAAGTCACCTGATTACATCAGAATATAGACAGCCTACTAGTATTGTGTTCATTTATGATACTAGCAACTATATTATGACTATTCTTAGGAATCAGAGCAGAATTATAAAGGGGAAAGCAGCATGTTTTACACAATTTAGGCCCTTTAAGAGTATGGGTGAGCTCTATGCTCTGAGGTCCCTTTTGTGTGCTCAAGAGAGGCTCCAAGTAGAACTAAGGGAACCATATGTCGTGTCAGGGATCAAACTTGGGCATCCCACATGCAAACCATGCATTTAGCCTCTTAACCTACCTCTCAAATCCTGCAATGTATCATACTAAAACAGTTCAAAAAAGCATGCATAGGGCTGAAAAGATAGTACAAGGTACTTGCCTTGCATGCAGTCAACCAAGGTTCAATCCCCAAACTCCACCAAGATTGATTCCTAAGGAATCCCCAAGCTCCACCAGGATTGATTCAAAAGGAAGCCCTGAGTACTGTCAGGTGTGACATCCCCACCTAGCCCGCAAAAATAAAAAGCATATGTGTGCTTACACATGAAGAAAGAAAAAGATTAAGAGCATACACAAATGCAAATATTAAAACAAGTAGCTAAATAATAACCAGATGTTCTTTGTACTCTTATTTTCATAACTTTTGTGCGTTGAAAATTATTTCCAAATAAGGTTTTTTAAAATTAAAGAAAAGCTAGTTCTCTGTGTTCAGAATATAATGGGAATATATACCCCAGCTGAATTTTATAGTGAAAGCAGGCTAGATGGGTTTATGGATAAAGGAAAGCTTCAAATGTCAGAGAAGAAAATCTGTACTTTATTTCTGTGAGCTAGGGAATAAGCACAGAGCTTATTGCAGAAGGGAAGTCTGAAGAGAAATATTTAAGAAAATTTGAGGTTGGACTGCCATGAAGGTAGGGGGAGGGTTAGAAGAGGGGGTACAGTGGGGACATTGGTGGTGGTGAATGTGCACTAGTGGAGGGATGGATGTTTGATCATTGTAGGACTGAAACTTAAACATGAAATCTTGTAACTGTATCTCACAGTGCTACAATAAAAAAAAATAATAATAATTTTTAAAAAATTGAGGCTGGAGAGATAGTACAGGGTTAATACACATGTTGCCAAGCCTGTGGCTGACCCTAGTTGGATCCCCAGCACCAAATGGTCTCCTGAGCATCACTGGGTACAGCCCTGGAGGCCCTAAGCACCATCAGGGTAGCCCAAGTAAACCCAATAATTTTGATGCAGATTGAACCACTGCTCTGGTTGGCTAAGAGTCACTGGGAGGGGCATGCAGGCCTCCTGTGTACTACATGAGAGACACTATTCCCAAATAAATGAATATTCTAGCAAGATTTTAACTAGGTAAAAGTAACAGATAAGTAATAAAGGGACATTTGGATAAATACATACATGAAATTATGGGGTCTTAGCCGAGGAAACTAAGAATAGTAAACAAAAAGTAAAACAAATGCAGAAGACCTAAATGTATCAAAGGCAGGTAGGATTCAGAAATAATTGGAGGGTTGGGGGAGAGAGTTAGCAGGAAGGGTGTTTGCCTTGCATGTGGCTGATCCAGGTTCAATTCCTGGTACCACATATGGTCAACTAAGCCCTGCCTGGAGTGATCCCTGAGTGCAGAGGCAGGAGTAAGCCTTGGGAAGTGCCAGGTATGGTGTCCCCTAAAAAGATATTCATACATGGGCCTGGAGAGATAGTACTAGAGTTTAAGTTGCATTGCTTGTGGCCAACCCTAGTTCAACCCCCAATATCACATGGTCCCAAGTACTACCAGGAGCAACCTTCAAGCACAGAGCTGGTACCAGCACCTGAGTACCACCAGGTATGGCCCAGAGACCTAAAAACTTAACTAAAATGAAATAAAATCATCATAAATAACAGGAAAATGGGCAGGAGGGTTATTATTCAACTGTATATAATTTCTCTCCTTCTCCCCCCACCAACAAATTGTTTATAGACACAACATGACCACATATTCATTCCAAGACCATTCACATACATAATATTAAGAGAAAAACATGAGCTATAAAACCAGATTGAATCAGAAATCAAAAGAGGGCGATTTTTTTCAAAAGAGTAAAGTCAGAAAGGAACCAAGTCAAAATAAAATTGACTTACCTGGCTAAGGAGTCAAATGACATCCACGTGGTATATTTTTATTGGCCTCTGACTCCTCTGTTCAGCAAGTATTTTGATCCTGAAGACAAAAAAGAGGGGGGAGGGGTTGAAATTCATTGCCCTTAAGTATTATAAGTAACACACAAAAAATTTTCCCATCTTTTCCTTCCCTGGACATAGCAAACAAACAAAAGATACAAATGTGAGGACTCTTCCTACTAGGAAGATCTGATACTTTATTTGATCTGATACTTTCTTTTGTCACATATTACTACTTCTGCTTTAAAAGTCAGGCCTGCAACACATAAAACATTATCACAGTCTGTAAACATTAATACTGCAAAGGGGAGGGGCAGGGTGTGGACGGTGGAGAAGACCAGTAGCAAATCCTGAAAAGTGATCAGACCAGATGAATAACCTGAATTTGGAGTATCCCCACCTGTTCAAAACCAAAACTACCATTAAATCAAACAAAAGACTATTTGATGCTTATTATAACTTAAGAATTTCCAGGCTAGGAGCCAGAACGCTAGGACAAAGATAAGACAGAAGACAAGATGTTTGCCTTGCACGTGGCTGACCGGGGTTCCATCCCAGGCTCTCTATATGGTTCCCCAAGTCCTGTCAGGAGCAATCCCTGAATGCAGGACCAGGAGTACGTCCTGAGCACAGCTAGATGCAGCCCAAAAACTTTAAAAAAAAAAAAAAAAAGCTCAGACAGGAATAGCAGATAGAGCACTGTCACAGAGCACTGCCCTGTAAGCATGTGGTCCTGAATACAACCTCTGGGTGCCCCACATATGAAAGTGCTACCCTGGCTGCTCTGCGGTCTGGGACCCCCCAGCATCACAAGTGATTTCCATTCCTGAATACACTGCAGCCAGGTGTGTGAGTACCACAAAAGGGTGCAACCTCAGGCAAGGATCACAACTAAAAAGATGTTCAAGTGCCATGACCAGGAAGTGTGACTCCTGGTGAGCACATCAGCGACCTCCAGGAAGCACCAAAACCATAACTTGTCTGTCTCAGCACAGGGAGCAACCTGCAGCAAGTACTGCAACCTGACAAGCAACCCCAGCCAGCCCCTCTGCTAGGGGTGCATGCAACCTTCAGTCAGCACAGCTGCAACAATGGCAACAATGGCAACAACAAAGGAAGAGAGAGCAAACAGAAACACAGTTCAGGAACCAGACTGACCCCAGTTTGATGCCCAGCGTCACTAAGTGTACCCCTGAGGCTCCTGAGCCCTGCTATGTGTGGCCCTGGTGGCATCGACTACCACCAAGGATTGTCCTGGTGGCCACCAAGCACCAAAGGGCCTGAAGACTGCAGTATTCTCAGGCCCTCAGGCCCTGGTAAAGTCCCGAGCCAAGAATCACAGGAAGCAGCCCCTGAGGCCCCTGACCCTACATGAGAGATCTCCCACATTCCCCCACCCAAAGAAAACAAAGTTTAGATCTTAAAAAAAATTAGAAGGAGGGTTGGAGCAACAGTACAGCTGGTACAGCATTTGCCTTGCACACAGCTGATCAAGGTTTGATCCCCAGCAATCCACATGGTACTCTGAGCACCGCCTGTAGTAAATCCTCAGTGCAAAACCAGGGGTAACCCCTGAGCATCACTAGGTGTGACAAAGCCAAAAAGCCAGAAAAATAAAAATAAATAAAATTAGAAGTAACTGGAGAGAGAGTGCAGGGGTTAACCTAATGCTTTCTGCACATGCAGCCAATGCAAGTTCTATTCCACAGAGCCACACAATTCCCTAAGCACAATCAGGAGACGTGCCTCAGCACCACCAGGTATGACCCTAAAACCCAAAAAACTCCTTTTTTTTTTCTTTTTGGGTCACACCAGACGATGCACAGGGGTTACTTGTTGCTTTGCATTCAGGAATTACTCCTGGTGGTGCTCACAGGACCATATGGGATACTGGGAATCGAACCCGAGTCGACCGCACACAAGGCAAATGCCCTACCCGCTGTGCTATCACTACAGCCCCCCAGAAAGGTTTTTAAAACTTTTTCCCCCCAACCACACTGAAATTTAAAAATATAAGAGAAGATAAAGTCTTCATTTTGTTTTTGTCTGTGTGTTGCTGGGGGCTGAACCCAGGACCACACAACTTCTTAGGACAGCAAGAAGAGCTCTTGCCTGGCATGCAGCTCACCTGGGTTCTATCCCCAGTAACCCAGATGGTCCCATGAGCTCCATCAGGAGTGATTCTTGAGCACAGAGGCAGAAGTAAGCCCTTCTGAGAGCTGAGTGTGGACCCAAAACAAATAAGCAAAAGAAGTATCCTATCAAGGAATGATGACCAATTTGTATTCTGTATTTCTTATGTCCACAGAAACACCCTGGAAAGAAGTGTCCCCCAACCCTGCCCCAGGAAATGTTCAGTTAGATGACAGAAGGCCCCGGTCACAGATCTATAGTCAAAGATCAATCGCTGACTTATCTATCAGGAATCCGAAAGGAGTAAAATGTCCAAAAATATATATACCAAAATCCCATAGAGTATGAAACTGTTCATAAATATAAAAACGTATCTGGAGCCAAGACAATAATGTTGTGCAAAGGCAACAACTGTAATTGACTTCTTGGAACCATGATTTTTTTGCCTGTAACAAAAACAAGTTTATTCTTACCCCCATTTCGTGATTTAAAATCCAGTCAATCATGCAACGAAAAATCATATCACATCAACAAGAAAACTGATGTTTCTTTAAAAATCTGAGGGGGGGGGAGGAAAGACGTTAAGTTTTCTACTAGAATTAACCCCCCCCCCAAAAAAAAAAGACTGATGAGGTTCTTGTTATCAAAACCTGCATCACTAGAGGCTAATGGGGGTTGGGGACAATCAAATTGTGTTTTGTTAATAACTAGTCTGAGATGTGCCTCAAGGTCAGAACAAAGAATTAAACTGGGGGTGGGGGAGCTGACAAAAAGGGGGATGCTTGGAAACACCAACTGGATAAAAAAGAGGCCGCTGAATATTATGAGCATGCTTTCCTTCTGCTATTGTCAGGGAAGGGGAAAGAACTCCACTATTAATCATTGTTCTCTGCGCTGCTCAAGCCCCGTTGCCAGGGGCTCCCTCCCTCCGCCGCCTGCAAGGCTGCACAAGAGGAGCCACCATCCTTGGGAAAAGCCAGCTGTTGCCCACTGGTCTTCAAAGCACCACAGAAGTTTTTGCAGCAAATAAATTTTAGGTGACTTACAGATTATTTAAAATTCGTGTGATTTAAATTTAGCGTTCTTCTGCAGTTGATTAGCAAGCAATAAATGTATCCTTTGTCAAAAATGAAACAGATTTCTCTCCGAACAGTCAACTACAATCAAAAAGTAAAAAAGCATTTAAAGTCATGAAAAAGTTTAAATCTTTAAGATTTAAATTTAAAATTTTTAATCATGAAAATTATATATAAAAATTGTGACTTTTTAAAAAGCCGGTACCTACTTAACTCAGGAATAAGTTATTTTACTACTTATTCCTCAGTACATTAGTGTGTGTTCAAGTAAGTAAAAATGCATTTGGTACCCAAAAAGAATTTATTAGTACACATGACAAACTCTTGAATATAATATTTTTGCTGGGGAGGTGAGGGATACTTGGATAGAACTTCAAATCAAAGCTTATCATGTCAAGTATATTATGAAAAGGATTTAAGGAAACTGTATTACCACTTTTTCCTATGATACACTAGAAAGAACAAAATTGATCTATAATTACTTATTCCCACAGTTATTAACAAACCATAGTAACTGTTTAGTACTATCTAGTGTCAACATGAAAACTGAAATGACACAGTATAAGCAGAAGCCTGGATTTTGGATCCAGCTTTTTCAAGGAGCCTTGTTTGAGAGAGATACAGAATTCAACGAAATGTTTGCTGTGATTTATTAGATGCCAGACACTACAGTGGCACTTATATTTATAAGAAAAGCATGGTTCCTGCACTTGATTATCAAAAATAAAAATATAAAGGGGCCAGAGCAACAGCACAGAGACTGGGGCGCTTGCGTGCAGCAGACCTGGGTTCTATCCCCAGCACTCCATCCAATCACCCGAGCCTGCAGGAGTGATTCCTGAGTACAGAGTGATCTCTCAGTGCAGAGCCAGGAGTAAGTTCGGAGCACCACTAGAAGTGCCCAAAAACAAATAAACAGCAGGAAAAGGGTAGGTATACTTAGTGAAATAAAAAACTATGTTCATTATTTGCTGGGCATCAATTCTCTGCACTGCACCCAGACTGCACAGATACAAGAAGAGATGTTGGAGGCAAAGAAGTACAAAGCCAGTGTAAAGAGAAATTGCCCTACCTTGTCTATAGGATTGCTATTGGTACTAGAGCATATTTAAATTAAAAAATATTCTCCTGGGTAGGTGGGAGAGTATCAAAGGGGGGAAAAAATCATATGTACACTTATTTTCTACAACTATTTTTCAGTAAAGGTAAAGGTAAAGGCCCTCCCGTTGATCATCGATTTGCTCGAGCGGGCCCAGTAACGTCTCCATTGGAGACTTTGTTGTTACTGTGTCTGGCATATCGAATACTCTCGGTAGCTTGCCAGGCTCTCCGAGAGGGGCGGAGGAATCGAACTCGGGTCGGCCATGTTGGCCTCTTGTAAGGCGAACGCCCTACCCGCTGTGCTATCGCTTATCACAACCAAAATGTCATGAGTTTCTTTATAACAAAATATAGAAAGAAGAAAACTTTTATTTTGGGGGGTGGGGGAGGGGGGAACAGTCACACCCAGCAATGCTCAGCAGTTATTCCTGACTCAGGAATCACTCCTGGCAGTGCTCAGGGGACCATATGGGATGTGGGGATGGAATCCGGATTGCATGCAAGGCAAACACCTTCCCCGCTATACTATCACTCCAGCCCAAGAAAAAAACTCCTGTGGTGAAGAGACAGAGATAGTACTTTGGGTAAGGTGCTTGTCTTGTAAATGCACCAACCCCGGTTCAAGCTCCAGTACCACATACGGTCTCCCAACAGTGATCCCTGGGCGCAGAGCCGGTGTGGTTTGAAACCAAAAAATTAGTAAGAATTTTTTTAAAAGAAAAAAAATTCA